AAGTGTGAACGTGCAGCAGTTTACAAATCTTAGGTATCACCGTTATTACCATTCATGGCCTATAGGTAGCATAAGGCTAGAGAATTGCCCCAACCTGGTGGATGAGCATCTCTGAAGACTCACACTCTGATGAAACCTGAGTTGACAGAGTTATGTGCAGGTAAGAACTCTCTCAGTGGGCCAGGCACCGTGGCTCATGCCTGTAATCCTAGCACTCTGGGAGGCTGAGGTGGGTGGATAGCTTGAGCTCACGAGTTCCAGACCAGCCTAAGCAAAAGTGAGACCCGTTTCTACTAAAAATAAAAAAACTGAGGCAAGAGGATCACTTAAGCACAAGTTGTAGGTGGCTGTGAGCTATGATTCCATAGCACTCTATCCAGGGTGACAGCTTGAGACTCTGTCTCAAAAAAATAAATAAAAATTGAAAAAAGAACTCTGTGTGAACTAGTAGGCAGGGCTCCTCTCACTTCATTCTCAAATATCTAAATGATTGATGAGTAAGGAAGGCCTATGATGATTATGATTGTGGTGACAAAGATCATGCCAATGAGTGAAGCATGATGCTGGGGGGATGGGTTCACCCTCATCTAACAACTGTAGGAAGGAAGTAGCCAAGGAGGGAATGAGGAGGCTTTTCCTGCAGCCTTAAGAACAGCCTTGCTTTCTGACTATCTATGGACTGCGAGTCTCTGCCTTTGAAGATCTGGGATCATGGCCAGGTGAGGTGGCTCACGCCTGTAATCCTAGCACTCTGGGAGACCCAGGCGAGTGGATTGCTTGAGCTCATGAGTTTGAGACCAGCCTGAGCAAAAAGCGAGACCCCATCTCAACTAAAAATAGAAAAACTGATGCCAGAGGATTGCTTGTGCCCGAGTTGGAGGTTGCTGTGAGCTATGACACCATGGCACTCTATCCAGAGAGAAATGAAAAGAAAATTGGGAGTCAGAATTCTCAGGGCCTAGACACTGCTGTGCTGTGTCTCTGGCCCCAACCCAGGACTCGTCAGAACCAGGATGCTAGGTCTCCAGCCTGGCCCACTCAACTGTGCGGACTGGGGCCACTGCGCCAGCTTACTCTGGGGAGGTCTCATTCAGGTCTCAGGTGCTGAAGCACCTTAGAAGTCACAGTGCTCGGGGCCCAGAGCAGTAGTTACGGTGCCAGCCACATACACCGAGGGTGGTAGGTTCGAATCAGGCCCTGGCCAGCTAAACAACTGCAACAAAAAAATAGCAGGGCACTGTGGTGAGCACCTCCATCCCATTACTCGGGAGGCTGAGGCAAGAGAATCACTTCAGCCCTAGAATTTGAGGTTGCTGTGAGCTGTGATGTCACAGTAGTCTACTGAGGGTGACATAGTGACACTATGTTCCAAAAAAAAAAAAGGTTACAGTCAGTATTAGCAGGAGCGAGCATCTCAGCAGCAACCTTAGTAGGGCAGCACCAATCAGGTGTCCTCCGAGCAAGAAGAGGAGCCAAAGAAGGAACCCTGCAAGAGCCTCGACTAGCTTCTCCTGTGGCTACTTATACAAGTGATAGACCACAGGTGTGGAGTTGCTATGCAATAATGTACATGTTCTCGTCTCATGCTCTTTAATGAGAGACCAATGATGTTAAATCCCTTTCCCAGTCCTTTATTGGTGTCTCCTACACAGAACTGCCACACAAACAACCAGAAAGAAAGGAATATTCATACCCATCTCAATACAAAAAGCAAATCTCCTGACTCTCCAACTCCTTGGTTTTCTGAGGCACAGATGGCAAAGGAGCTACATTCGGAAAGAAGATGATGAAGAAAAGGAAGACT